GGGGCGTTACAGCCTTTACTTTGAAGGGGACAAATCCTTCTCACTTTAACAGAGGGAAGCGAGCTGAGGTCCAGGTCTGCATCTTCTTTCTGCAGCTTCTGTATATAGATTGCTTCAGCCTCCCATAACCCTGAAAAACTATGATTACATTTTTTGCCAAGGCAGCAAGTTGAGAGTCTGAGAGAGGCCAACTTTCTAATGCCGCTTCCAATGGCTGATCCACAGGCATCCAAAACGGGTCAAAGTTGGATCCTAAAAGACAGAATAGACAGAAAAGGCGAGTCCAGTCCAAATCCTCCTGGCTTTTATCAACAGACCCATTTGGAAGCTGATCTGGGATTAAAAAGTATGAGCAAAAGAAAAAGGCAGGACAGTCATAGTCAAGCTGAAGCAGTAAAATATAATGCAGCCCACATGGTCAGCATTAGGAAAGGCAGCATGACAAATGAATGTTTATCTACCAAGCCTGCCTTCATATCTGCTGGGATTCTGATACTTCAGGGAATATGAGCACCCAAAGCCAAACAAAAACAGACTAAATTTAGAGTGTTATCATAGAAAAATATTAGTGAGTACTCCTACAGTACAGGCTCTCACATTTCATTCAAATATATATTGGTAAAAAAAAACAAAACAAAAAAAAAAAAACTTCAAATCCAGCTTTTTTCCCCCCATTTTATAAGGCCACTTTTTGAAACATTTCTCCTTCTCCAAACACAGAACAGTACTTAAAAAATTATGAAGTCATTTACTGGCAAAAATCTTCTGAAATGAGATGAAGGGATTTGGTGAAATAACACCAGAGAATAATAAATGAACTTTATTGATCATTTACCTCTGCATTTAACCCATCCCCTTTGGGAGCAGTGGACTACCATCGTGCGGCGCCCGGGGAGCAGTGTGGAGTTAAGGGTCTTGCTCAGGGACCCAGAGTGCAGGATGTGGGGATGGAACCGGGTACTTTCAACCTTCTCAGAGCACAAGCGCACTGCTCTAAACACTAGGCCAACACTCCTCAATCTGACTGTGTAACAGCTGTGTTGTCATTGGTTTGTTCATTTAATGATAATAATAATAAAAAAAAAATCTTTTAAACTGTTTTTGATTGTGCTTTCCTTTTTAGGCAATTATCGTTTTTAACTTTTTGTTTCCAGTTAGATCTGGGTGTATTTAAAGAAGATAAAAATAGTAATTACAAAAATGTCATCTAAAAGCCAAAACTCAACCTATTTAACACAAGTAAAAAAAACTATCAATAAAAAAAGAGAAATAAATCAAACTTGGAAAATAAAATAAATATACCAGACATGTTGGCCTACTTCAATATATCTCCATTCACTTGTTTCATAAGTTAACGCATCAGTTTATTTATGATTTTAACACAAAAGGAATGTTATTACAGATGATCTAGTTCTGAGATTTTATCATCTCAGTATTAAAACTGATAATATACTAAAAAGCACTGTTTTCCAGGACACACCTAATATTATGCTGGGTTGCACTAGAACAGCCAAATGGCCGGCATCCTGAACAAGTTTTTTTTTTCCTTTTTTTTCGAAGCAGAAATATTTTAAATTAAAGGCGCCACATGCTAAGAGAGGTGTTTACCATTTATTTTAGTTCCTGCTGCGTCACATCTCCAGGTGGAAGGCACATCATCATATAGATTTTATACATCATTGTTACTAATTACTACTTAACTATACAGGCTAAGGTTTTTTCTGTTCACATTAACATTATAGTAAATTTTTAAATAGAGTTACATAAAATGGTATGTATGTACATAAAGACAGGAAATAAAGCATTTTTTGTATAAAATGATTTGACCATGAAGCAGTTCATTTTTTTTTTTGCACGTGTTAGATCTTCTTTAAAGAGAAAAGAGCTGGTCATGTGTGGCATCCTGCTTCTTGGTGGGCTGAGGTCTAGGCGTGGCCGATGGCACGGTGCGAATTGAAAGGTTGCTTTGGTCCGCCACCTTCGCCCGATCGTCCAGAAACTTGTCAAACTCTAAAAACACAGAGACGTCATGAACTCATCTTCTAGCATAACTGATTAAATGTTGAGAACGGTTCTTATTTACTATATTAGAAAACCAAGAAGAGGAAAACAAACCTTCACTGGAGACTCCTTCACAAACCGAGGATTGACCTTCCTGCTTTATTAAAACACAAGAAAATAAATAACGCGCTCTACTGTAATTATCTGCTAACATTACATATGATCTATACAAGCTTTGGATTACCAGATCAGAAGATAACCATTTGTCAGTGTCGTTCTGCGGAGCATTTTTCTCCGGCACCATCTGAGGGAAAAGGAAAATAAAAACAAAACAGAATGAAAACTCCTGCAAAAACTCCTTTAAACATAACTGCTGTGGTGTACGCACCCCTCCTGTGACCTGCAGCCTCGAGTCCAGAGCTTCAGCAAGTCCTTCTACAGTTTCTGGATCTTCATATCTGACGCTAGACGCAAATACATACAAATACTTCATTGTAAAAAAGCAGAAACCAGCAGTGCTTTAGTAGACGTGAAGCTTACAGTGAAAATCATTACAAGCAAAGAAAAAGTGAATGCATGCAGATCTGTGAAAAGGATTAAGGATGCATAAATGGTGCTCTATGATTAATTATTAGCTCTAATAATAATATTATATTATTTAAAAGTATTTTCATAGATATCATCAGTGCTGTGCATCAAATCAATTTACGAAAAGTGCTAGATGATAAATGATGTTTACCTTTTCCTCTGCTCAGCCAAAGAGCTGCCTCTGGTCTGAGCAAACATGTCAAACTCCTCCTCTTCTTCTGCAAAGGATCATTTTAGAAATTAAAACAAATCCAAGCCAGCTTAGGTTCAAAAAGCACAGAGGGAATATTTCCCTCAAACTGCTTCCCATGCTTAGGATTAATCACTATGACGTTTGTTTGCATGTAGTCTATTCAAAACACACTCATGTGATTCAGCCTCAACATCCCATTTCCCTCCACAGATAAAACGCTAAAAAAAAAAAAACAAAAAAAACACAAGAGACTTGATAGATTGTTTTGAAACCAAGGTCATGGGGAGTTTGCTCACTGTGATTGGCTGATAGCTGGTGATTGGTCTGGGCGCTGGCGGCTGGTTGGATGCTTGCTGTGATGGTAGCGGCCTGTTTGTTGTTCAGAGTTTCAGGGATGGTGTCAACCAAATTTGGGCTCCTTACAGAGATCTGGAAGTAAGTTGTGTCGTGATTAATCACTTTAACCGAGAGGGGAAAAAAACACCATTAAAGCTGCTTTCAGTCCCAAACACATTAGACAGATTATAATTATTTTTACCTGTTTAGGATCTGAACTTTGAGTCTTGTTCAGCCGTTCAAACCTAACAAAAATGTACAGTAGACGGTTATGTGTTGTATTTTACAACTAATGCTCAATCAACCAACCAGATCCGCTGCAGCCCACCTCTCATAGCGAATGAAGACATTGTTGAGGTCGTCGTTTACCACCAGTAACTCCTCCATAAACCTTTCATCCACCAGCTGTGGGATCAGCTCAACCACACGACTCTGCATCTTCTTACACACAGAGAACAGCTGCTGCTTGAGCAGAGCAGCAGGGAGAAAGAGTCACTTCCAATTTGAACGGAGCACTGAGTAAACAAACACTTTCCAGCAAGTATGGTCCAGGAGCTATTTAAGAAGCAAATGATTTAATTTACCATCGACATTTCTGGATTTTCAGTGGTACACTTCAGATCTTGAAATAAAGGACACATGTCCGACGCGTTTTAAAATACTTTGAGGACAGTGAAAGACTAAAGGAATGGATTTACAGCTTAACCAACCACCTGTTTTTTTTTTCTTGAGAAAGCTTGGTTCAAGTTAGACTGAATAAAAACAGATCAGCCGGGGCGATTCTACAAACACACAAGTCCTTCCATGTCAGACTGGTTTAGACAACAAAAACCTCCAATAAGAACTTAGTGGTCAATTTTTGATCCATGAGTTTTTATTTATTTTCTTATAAGTTTTACTTGATGACAAAGATTTAAGTCAATTGTTAATTTTCTTTAAGAGCTGTAATATTAGAATATATGAGAAACAAATGAAAAAAAAAAAAAGATCTTGAACCCTTTATAGGGAACTCAGTTAAACACTTAGGAATTAAAATTTTAATTCAAGAGTTTTATTAGGGGGCAGAACAACACCTTTTAACATAAAATTAATATAAATATATATTATGGCAAAAATTAAGGTCAATGTAGTTACAAAAAATTGTCACTTATTCTCATATGGAAAAGAAGAAAAACAAGGAGTGTGAAAAAGAAACAGAAATAAATAATTTTTATGTTACATTACCATGAGAACATTAATGCTAATTCCGAAACTTCGATTTTTTTTTTTTTTTACTTTTTAAATGATCTTTTTAATTAAGTTACTTAGCTTACTGATTTTTAACTCAACTTTTTTTAAACTTGATTTACAGTGGGCAACATATCACACCCAGTAGGCAACATTAGATCGCTGGTCATATTCTATAAAGCAGTGACACTCAGCTTTAAGACAGAGGTTGACCTTGTAAACCATCTAGATCATATTTAACCTCAAGATTTTGCCTTGTTTGCTGCAAAGTAGTGTTTATGATGACAATAAATGAGTCAAGAGTCAATATCTACATATTCTCCAATAGATACAAGGTGTTGCTCTTTTAAACCAAAAGTAAGAAGATTACAATGCAATAAGCACAGAGCGAATTGATAAAATAATGAAAGTGAAAAATGGCCAGTTGGAAAGTAAAAGTCTGTTGGATAATAGGTCATATATCAGGTTTTATTTCTCATTTTTATTTGTTATTTTTGGAAGAACATAAAACTAAACTAAAAGAGACCAACGTCCACAGGGGGGAAAAGGAAGTTAATGCAGTGCAAACAGTGAATAAAAAGATAGTGTGGTAATGTTGTTTTATTGGTAAGAGCTATGGCGAAGGCTCTAGAAATGAGAAGGAAAGGTTTCTCAGCAGAGTTTAGACTGGGATTTTAATGATCACTGTTTTATGATGTTTTTATATCCACACATAAATAAATATAATTACAATTGTTCTGAACTGGCCTCCATATTAAGAAGAAGCTAATAGACAGTGACCCCCCCCCCTACATACACACACACCCACCTGTAGCAGGTCTGCATCATCTGCTGAGCTCTGTCCCGGTATCATTTCGTTTAACATCTGGGACATCACCGCATGGTTTCCTTTAACCAGGGCCAGCTCGCTGCGCAGTTTCTGCTCCTGAAACAAGACAACATTAAACGGTTGAATTAAAACATGTCACTAAATTAGGTTCGTTTGAAGTTTTGGATGTTCCTGGATTTTTAGCGGTGGTCTAAGAAAAATCTGATACTCCATATATTAGTGGTATAAATATGAAGTATTTACTGCTACTGGGCTATAATGCCCAAAATATGTGAAGTTCATTTACAAAATCCTCATAATACAAAAAAAAAAGCATATCAATTAAAATTAAAATGAGAAATGAATAGGATAAGGTTTGAATGAATGGCACAGCTTTTGTTGGTTGATCTGATGTTGTTTGATCAGGAAACATTAAAAGCTGCTGATGGCCTACCAACAGACATCACCTCTAGATTCATTAAAGCAGTGTCTGCAGGGATCTTCTGAGGCTACAAAGCACTTTGAATATGAGTCCATGTAATAACCACATGTCACCACATGGGGCAGTGTAGCAAAGGGCTACATCAGTTCTCAGAAACTAGAGATTTTAGGGACTACTATGTGGCATGAATTATTATTTTAAAATTAAACTGAAAATAAAAAATTCAACAAATTATTTAGGGGTACAAATAACATAAACAAATAAAAAAATAGGTTGCATGCATTAGGTTTTATCTAACATCTTGGGTTTTTGTTTGGGGTTTTTTAAGCTGGACCTTCAGTCTTAAATAAAGTTTCTATGAACTCAAGTTACAGGAGTTTTTTTTTTTTTCAGGTAGACCTTCCAGTGTAAAAATTGTCATTTTGACAATAAGAACAACTCTAACCTGCACAGTTACTTGTTAACAGTATAAAGAGTAAACCAAAGAGGTTATATTTTAGGAAAATGTGTGTGTTAGTCTGTCCCTCATGGCAAAAACAAGCCATTAAATGTGGGTGATCATCCAGATCATAATCTGGATACAGGATTTTTTTCAGAGATTCTCCAATATTGTGAGATAGGGATATTTGGGAAAACAAGCAGTCCACTAAACCAGAAGATGGATGCAGTGACTATTCACAGCCTCAGTATCGGACTCAGAAAGTCTGGAGGTATTTTACTGATGACAAAAACATGAGAAAAGGGAACGCTGGTGGTTTGTTAGCAGGATCAATTTAAAACTTATGAACACATTTTTTGGACATTTTTTTAAGCAGAGGTTTGCTTCATGCCAAAGAACAATTCATTAGAAATTAAGGAATGATCCAGATCATGTGTGTGTTTTAGATATAGAGGTAAGTCACAATTTGGGGGGATAGTTTCCTGCATGGCAGAGGTCTGCACTCTGCCAGTGATCTTCTAGTTCAATACACTTCCAGGGGGTTTTACCTGTTCTGGAGAGAGGGGGACCGGTCCGTTGCTGACATTGACTGAAGATGAGGTATGTTGACTGGGAGAGGCAGCTGGTGTTTGTTCTTGTGATGGAAGTGTAGAAGCAGAGACAGAGGTCCCCTGAGGGGTCTCGTTCTCTGGTATGCTCTGTAGGATACGAAGATGAGTGATAATATAAGCACAAGTTTAACAATTCCCTTTGTGTGTGTAATAAACCTCCAGGTAATAGCCAGTCTCACCCTATTTGGAGTATGAATGGGGGAGAGTGCATCCAGGTCTGTCATAGGAAACTCCAAACCTCGCCGCCTTAGATCATCATACACATGCACCACCCCCACCAGGGAGGGAGAGCTACGAAATGCATCAGCCCATGACTTCAAATCAAAAGGGAGAATATGGGATTAGTTATGAACAGATGCTAAAGCTGCATGAGGTTAAGGCCTCCAGAAGACAGAGAGAAAAACAATAACCAAGAACAGAAAGGACCTGTTCTACAGGACTTTCAAACTCAACTGATTCTTAATGACATGATTCCTTCCAATCAGGAAAGGAGGGCTGATAGAACAGTTCAGATTTTTTCATTCCAAATCAGAATAATACATTTTTCTGCCTTTATATGAAATCAAGATCACAAAGGATAGAAATGAAACATGTTCTCTTGCTTGAAGTATCCAGTCTTTGTCACGGTCAAAGTTCTGTTAAGTTTTCTTTTGAGTTTTTTTTTTCTAGTTTTATTAGTCCCTATTTTGTTGTGTGTTCTGGGTTTATTTGAGTTCTTATGTTTCTCTTGGTTGCCATCTGTTGCCCTCTTGTGTTGGTCTCCTTTTCCTTAGCTCCTTTCTAGGATCCTCTGTTCACACCTGCTCCCAATCAGCTCATTAGTCCTTTCTTTGTTCAGTTTCCCATAAATACTCTCCTGTGCAGTTCCTTAGTGCTGGTTCTCATCTTTTCCTGAATCCCCACACGAGTTTTCCCATGAAGCTGTCTGGTTTTTGGTCCCATGTATTGTGTTATTTGGTTGTTGCATTTTTGCCTCAGTTTATTAATTAAATCTACAAGAACTCTCCTCTGGCTCCTCACCTCTGCATTTGTCTCCTCAAAACCTCAACAAAACCCTGATAGTCTTGACCTAAATACAATGTGCAACCAAATACAAGCCATGAAACCTGAAACTGAGTTTCTTCCAGATTCCAGGGGAGGCTGGAGACATGGAGTCTGAGTGGACCATGTTTTCTGGCTCTATTGCCAATGCGGCTGCCTGTAGCTGTGGACGTAAGGTTTGTTGCAGTAATCACCGAACTCGGTGGTGGCCACCAGCAGTAAGGAATCTGCCGAGCCTGGTTTGCTTGTAGGACTCCTGAGGCACCAAGCACCTATTGTGAGACCAAGTGTGCCGCTGCACAGGCAGTTGCAGAGGGAAAAACCCAGGCCTGGGAGGAGTTTGGAGAGGCCATAGAGAAAGACTATCAGCTAGCATCAAAGCGATTCTGACAAACCATCCGGCACCTCCGGAGGGGAAAGCAATGGTTTGTCAAAACTGTTATCAGCTGACCCTGAAAGAGGTGGGACACTGAAAGGAGTACTTTGAGGATCTCCTCAACCTGGCTAACATGCCTTCTGTAGTGAAAGAAGAGACTGAGTGTTCGGCGCTTGATTCATTCATTGCTCACGCTGAGGTCACTGAGACGGTCAAAAAACTCCACAGTGGCAAGGCTTCGAGGTGGACAAGATGTTCCTGAATACCTTAGAGCACTAGATGTTCTTGATCTGTCGTGGCTAACACTCCTCTTCAACATTACTTATAGGAAAGTGCCCGTGGACTGGCAGACAGGAGAACAGGAGGTGGTGTTCCCTATAGGGGAGTCACACTCCTCAACCTCCCCGGTAAGGGGTGTGCAGGTGGCGCAGTGGTTAGTGTTCATGACCCATGTACGGAGGGCTTAGTCCTCAATGTGGCCGACCCGGGTTTGAATCGACCTGTGGTCCTTTGCCACATGTCTCTCCTCCCTCTCATACCCACTTTCCTGTCAGCCTACTGTTGAAAAGAGCAGAGTCTGGCTGATTGTGAACCTCGGCTTCATGAGGAGCAGTGAGGTTTTTGTCCTTTTGTCCGTTCTTTCTATATGTATTCTAGTATTTTATTTGTGTGTTTGAAAGAATTAAATTCCGACTTAACAATGCAAAGATCAACAGTGATTATTACCCAAATTAGCCAGCCCATGCCCATTGTTTCCTACCAGGAAGGACAATTGTCATTTAACATTTTTTAAGGATGTTTAAACAAGAAAAGCTAACACCAAACCACATGTCTTTCTTATGAAATTTCCGCCTCTAGTCAAGCACACATACTTCCCATAATCAAGACAAAAGTAGTGTTGTAACAAAGACAAAAAATTTGCTTCATTCGACCTCAGAAATGCAGGAAAAAGTGTTTCAGAGAGTTTAAATTTCAAAATACCATGAGAGTATCTAAGTAGGGAAAACCAGGAAGAATCATGACATTGGAGTCTAGTTAATAGAGGTTGAACTTCCATAAACACAAATGAGTAAATCAACAACATAGAGGTACTTCAATGCTAAATTTGATATTTTTAATAACCCTTCATGGTTTTCTTTATTAATGGGACCAAAGCTATGACTATTTTCAGTAGAGCTGGACTTCCTAGGAAAATAAATAACAAAAAAAATAATCTAATCCCGATATTTTTTCTAATTAAGTGATTGTTGATCATATAAAAAGTCCCAAGTAATAATATTTTTACTGAGATAGATCCAGTAAAGGAAGTGAATCCAGATTCTGTCCCAAACATACCTGTATGAGGCTGAGAACCCGATCATGGAGGACTGTGGGGGGGTTGAATTTGGGCAAAATGATACGAACCAGAACCCCCTCAACAAACTCCTGCGACGCCACCAGAACATGGAAGCGATGGCCACAGTTCTTAACACAGGTCTCAAGAACCTACAGGAAATAAAACATAAAGCTAAAATATGAAATGTGATTCAGTAAAGTATCAACAGTAACTACAATCAACATGTTTATTAAACAGTTAATAGATATTAAGGTTTATTACTCACAGTTAGAGCCAGCATGATCTCTCTGAAGTTCTTGTTTCCCACAATCCTTTTCTTGATGGCTTTAACAGCATCTCTGGGCCTGACGGACAGAAATATTTACATCAGAAGATGTGTGTTCAATTATCTCGAGTTGAAAAGGAAATAAAGCATGCAAAGTGTTACTAAATAATAAACTTAGTGATGTCTGTTTTTTTTCTTCTATGTTTAAATCTAGTCCAAACAACAGACATGCAATTTTTAAAGTTATAAAAACCGTGGACCTTCTACTTAATGTGGCCATCTGATCACATGAAGCTGAATGATTTTCAGCAAAAGTGAAAACATAAACCTATCATGTAAACTTCTTTATTGTAATTATATAAGAGGTTCCTGAACACAGCTACACCTATTAACCAGGCTTCAGACTGATTTCTCCCCATTTCATTAAATGCATCCAAACAAAGGATGCTCTGGATCAACAGGTGTAATCTGTAATGTTTGTCCTTTGAGTGCAGTAAAACTGCAAAACACAAAAGGACATGCAGATAAAAAAAAAAAAAAAAGTTTAGACACCTGAATATTAAAGTACTCGATGAATTGTTGTTAAATTATATTTGTTTAAGGGTTTAAACTGATCTAAACCAACCTGGACTTACAGTATGTGAAAAGGGTAATAGTCCACTAACTCTAATACCGACTGGTCCATTCTTTAAAGACAGTGAAAGGAAATAAATAAGATTTTACATTGCTGTCCAGGGATTTGGACGCATTTCTGAGCCCAAATGTTTTCATTTTAGCAACATTTTGGTCTCACTGGTGAATTGAAACAGATTTTAAAAATCCAGTAATGAATATATTTTTATCTTCTTTTGAACAATTAATTGGTGTGCTTTACATCGTTTTATATAGTCTAAGACGGAGATCTTCAACAGGGGGTCCGTGACCCCTTGGGGGTCCACGGAGGTTCTGCATGGGGGTCGTGAAAGTTTTGGTTGGTTAGACTTTTTTTTAAATATTCCTCCCTGGAATTTTTCCACTAAAAGAAATGGCTTTAAATGCACATCAACATGAATTCAACACACTGATAAACAGATAAATGGAGGCAGAAAATATCTTTCAGTAATCAATGCACACATTAGGCAACACAGAGGGGCTCTTTCAATCTGGGCACCGTTTCATTCACACCTGTCCCATCAACGAAGAATCAGAATCAGAAATACTTTAATAATCCCAGAGCAAAATTACTTTTGCTACATTACTTCATCTGTAATAGAGTGACTATAGGACCAGTTTGATATAACACAATTTCATACCATATATATATAATTAGGGGGTCCCCACTCCATCTGGCCTTCAGTTGGGGGGTCCTTGGTCAGGAAAATATTGAAAACCTCTGGTCTAAGGTCAGGCTGATGGTGAGATATTCTCATAACGATTTAAAGCAAAAGAGCAGGGCTCATGCATTCATCTCATTCAGATTGTTTCTTCAGATTATCTGCAGGTGAGACTTTTTTTTTTTTTTGCTTAGGAAATGTTCTGACACTGTCGATTTCCCATTTTTGCCAGTCTCTCACTCACCGTTTTGCTGTCAACTTTGACCCTGAACGGAGTGAGATCGTCACTGTTTTCAGCGTTGTTTGTGGTTTTCTTACCACATCCCGGATGAGTGGCTGATGCTCTGTTTGAGTCATTTTGGTGAACTGGCCAATCCTAAGAAGTTCCCCATGAAGTTTAGCCTCATTAAAGAATCAGACAGGCTCTAATTGGAGGATTTCTTTATTCACTACTCAGGTCTGGGTAGAGCTGGTTACACTGAGCTCAAATTTAAAAGAAGCAGTCAATCACAGCTAATTTTTGCTTTAACAATATGGGCCATTACTTTTTTCGCCAAGTGCCAAGGGGTCAAGGGTAATTAGAGTTTAAAAACAGATTTTTGTTTTTTTTCAAGTTATCTTTGTCTAATATAAAAATTGTGTTCAGGGACCTGAAATAGATAAGTGTGACAAAAAACAACCAAAAGAAAGTTTTTTTTTAAAAAAGCATTCCTTCCCTAAGGTGCTGAGTGTTTTTATGAATAAAAGGGGATCAATTTGGAATGTCTTAATTTTGTGTTGAATTCAATACTGCTACCTTAGCAGATACTTTATTCCCGTGTGTTATAGTATTTAAAAAACAATCATCTGAACCATATCTACCCCTCATCCGTCTCATTGATGATATCGCATATCTCCATGTTGAGTCCCCAGTCCTCCGACTGTAGAGAGCCGCTCGTCGCTCGTTCTGTCAATAAAGAAGAGACAAAGTAAAGCATGAACTGGAAAACTGATTAAAAATACACAAACAGAACCGCAACCGGGTTTCAAGTACCAAAAAATTCCTTCAAAGGATTTCAAGTCCTCCTTTAGGATGAAGGAGAAAAGTGGCACTCAGAAGAGCTGTCCCCCCTCCCCCTAAATTGCTGCACGTTGTCAATCAGCTGGGTGTAAGAAAGCTGCTACATTCTTCCTTTGGTTAAAAGAAAAACCAAAGTGTGTGTACAGAGAGCCATGATATGGACTCCAACCCATCCCTCTTATAGTAACACTGTTGATAAAATAAAGAAAGAAAGCTGGTAGTATCATGACTGTAAAGGAAGCAGAAAGCCCGACTAATTAACCAACAACAGCTTGCTAGACTCGTGGTCCTCCATTAGAGAAAATAAATCATTTTCTGAACAGAAAGGGCCTGAATTGACTTCTAAATTTAGCTGTTATTCTGCATGTGTGCTAAAGTCCAGGGGTAGAGTTAGTTTCAGGCAAAACTAGGCAGTTCTCTAGGGCCCAAAGTTACTGAGGGCCCCATAATACACTTCATAGATGTTTGGTAAATACAGCTATTACTAACTTATTTTACTAAAAAAAATGTTTTTGATAAAAATGCAATCAAAAAAACCCTATCTATACTATATCTTTGCCTCTTCACTACATCAGATCAGTCCACTTTACTGCACAGGTGCAGAAAGCAACAAGTAAGACTGCGGCAAAACATGAAAATAAATGAGGATAAGAGATAAGAAGAGAAATAAAAAGAAAAAAAGATGAAAGACTCTACCCCAGTGATGCTGGAGAGAATAGATAGGAGGAGGACAACAGAAAGATGCAATCAAAGTTCCCAAAAGTGCAACAGCAAACCAAAACAGTCATCGAGCACAACACTGACGCTGACCCTTTTGAGGATGATCCGTTGTGTAGAGATGCACAACTAGTGAAAA